TGCTGTCTTGTTTGAGGGACTAAATAAAATCTAGTGTGTGTGTATATATATATATATATATATATATATATAATGTATTTGTTTGATTTTATTATGATGACCACACTGTTAGTCAGTACATATTTAGTAATATAGGCTGTTACCTGTAGAGCTTAGTTTCTACTTTTTTGTTTACTGCTACTGCAACTTTATATAGCTTGTGCCTATTTTGGCAACACCCTTGTACCTTTAATAATATAATATATGGTGTCTTGCATCTGAATCTACAAAACACCTCATCAGGTTCTTTAAAACCTGGCAGCAGTGGAACTGCTTTTCCAGTTCTCTGCCAGGTGTTCAGGTCATTTCATTTATTCCTTTTCTTTTGTCCAGTTTTCTTCTGACCTGTTGTTAAGTCAAGGAAATTGCCAGCTGGAAAAATATAACTGATGACTCTTCATAGGACTCAAAATTGGATGCTTTCCTATGAAATATATTTTATCTCAAACAGAAATACTGTGCTTGAACTCAAAATCCATCTAATATCAAAGCATATGCAAGGAAGAGCTATAGAAAATAATTTCATTTACGTCATTCCACAGTGGTTGCTAAGTATCTTCCTTGATAATGGTTGTCTGACAGTGGATATATCTCTCAATATTATGCTTAATTTTAGACAAATAGAATGAGATTATGGGGAAGCAATGTTGAAAATGGGAGCAGGTCTCTTAAAAGAATCATGAAAGTAGAAGGGCCAACATATCACAAAGACACCTAGGGCGAGAGAATGTCTTTCCTAAACATTTAAGAACTCCTTGTAAATTCTAGCATTGATTATAAGGAAAGGACTGCTGACCAGAATAAAATTTCCTGGAGAAAAACTTCACTTTAAATCTTTCATTTTTCTCTTTAAAAATTTTTAATAAGGGTCACACATGCATGAGCTGCAAAAATGTCGAGTCCGTAGGTCTCAATATCCTGAGGACCATTTCCTCTTTAGAATGAGATTTTCCCTTCAAAAATAAAACTTTGGGGATCCAGTTGGATATATTTGTGCTGTTTCCATTCCTCAGATATTTTGAAAAATTCCACACACCAAAAAAATAGCTCTGAAATAGAAACAAAAAATGAAACTTTAAAAGTACTTACCAAATTATGATTCAGTGTTTAAACCATCCTTTCATTTGGCTTTTTGGAAAGTTTCCCAGGTTCCAAGAAGTCTTGGGAGCCAGGAGTCCTAGGAGCCCTCCTGGAAAATCCTCAGAGCTGTTTTAGAGCTGATAAGCCCTCTTTCCCTGGCTGCAGGTCATACAGCAGATTTTAAAATATCTGGATAGATGACATGGAAGATAACTGTGAGGTTTTGAAATTTGCATAATTTCTGTCATATTTATGTTCAAATGGGTAGATGTCTGTGGATAGATTTCATTTTAAAATACTGGCATTTTCCAGCAGAAAAATATTCCGTAGAAAATTCTACAGTACATTCAGGATTTCTTTTCTAATCAATGCCAGTACAATCCAGTTAATAGGACTAAAAGTGAAATGGAGTCGTGAACAGATTATTGACATTCTGTTCTGAAAATGCTCACAGAATATCTAAATCCTGACTAGAAAATCGCTGACACAGACTCTAAGCTTTTCCAGGGAAAACATGAGATGCTGGCACTGACCTGTGTCATTGCAAAGCTGCAGCCCCTGTGCAGGACACTTGGTGGTTGTGTCTAGTGCTTTTTCTTCCCTCTTAGAGGTGGAGCAGCTTCCCAAGATGCTGCCACTAGCACGATAGGAAATGTCAGTTCTTATGTGATGTGGTGACATGGTGTCCAAATAAAATTTTTAAAAATTAGATGATTTATGTGGATTTTGAAACATCTGAAGCACAGTCATTCACTCAAAATTTGATGTTACTGTCATTGGTTATAGTAATAATCTGTTCCCATATTGTGTTTTATCTCTGGACTCTGGAGTACCATACAGAGCAAAGGAAATACCATAATTTTTATTTCACCAAGTGAGAGGGAAACTGAGGCAAAGTGGGGAATGGACTTACTCTTCACCACATATAAGATTGGCATAATCCAAGACTGAGCCTCCAGTCAAGGCTCCATCCATACTCTAGCACAATTAAAGGGATTGCCTGAGTTCTCAGATCATCCCTCTCCTATGAATAATGACTAATGCTAATGAAAAGAAGTTTCTCACATATCTTAGATGAAAAATTTGTTCACAAATATTTATTCATGTTTTTAAACAGCATTGTCAATGTGTGGGCACTCTGTGTTCATTTTTCATTAATATCCTCGCACAAGAGCTTGTTGGCAGGCATGTTGCTGTAGCAGACAGTTTGATGTTCCATTTTGAGGAATGTCTACGTAAAGTAAATATTTTATGTGCAGCAAGTAGTTTGACTTTATGCATACATTTGTCCAGACAAGGAACAGCCCTGTCCCTTTGCCCTTTGCTCTACCAGGCTGCCTGCTCTCCAAATAAATTGTTTGAAATAACAGGTATACATAACGCAGTATTCACAATTAAATTGTATCCCAGAAAGTGTCTGTAGACACTATTTAGTGAAGATTTTTAAATAGTTAATGTTATGGGTATTCATATTCTTGGTACATTTTGAGGAGACAAATAGGGAAGAACACTGAAGTCTAATAAGGAAATAATTTTCTGTAAATGTGTCTTTTTGTCATGTTGCTGCATGTGTGAGATTTGTTCAGTCAGCCTGAGGAGTGCAACCGGTGCACACTAAATGCATTTGTAGGCTGTGTACAGCTTTTCTTCACTGCATTTGACTTTGCCCCTTGGGCACCATGATGGGGTTCCTTTCTTTTATGCTACATAGCGAAGGGTCTCTGTGTGAGCAGAGACAGGTTGATAGGAGGAGAGGGGTGGACATCACCTTGGTCTTTACACAGCTGTGCAACCTGTCATCAGACCTGCACACCAGCTCTCTGTGCTTCAGATGTGTGCAGCCTCTTCTCTGCACCTCCTGTCTCACAGTTGAGCTGTCTACACTATTACTTTTTCCCACTGGTATCAATAAGTCCCAATGGAGAATAAATTAGAGAACCACAATGAATTAAACAATTTCCCCTCTTAGCAAAAGTGATATAAACCTGTTGTTTTCAGTGTCTTGTGTGGGACTGCTTTTGTCAAGTCATAGCACATTGTTGCTTATCCCAGTGCCTTTGGCTGTTGGTTTCATTATCATAAGCTTGTTCTGATGCTTCTAGCTTTCTCATTTTGTGTATAATAAGTAATTAGTGTAATTTAAGATGTGATTGTTGTTGCTCTTTCTAGCACCGAATAATAATAAAAATCCAATATAAATGTAAAGGTAATCACACCGTAACTTCTCTTACACTTCTGTACATCTCCAGGTAAGTCCTCAACAGTGCTCTTGGTTTTAACAAATGACACTTCTAAAAATTTCTGTACATACTTATTAACAATTTTATGGCCAAAATGGTATCATCGGAGGTTCAGCATATAGAGGTACTTTGGGGTTTCATAGAGTAAAATATGTCTTTTTCAGAAGCGTGAGATAAAGCCAATTATGACAGCTTTAGTGAATTATGCAATAGAAACAATCTGAGGACGAATGCTTGATATTTAGCTCAGTTGATTCCAATTAAAGCCTGCACAATAATTTTAAAATCTAATGTAGAAATATCCTGTTGCTATTTGTTCTCTTTTTCCCCGTCTTTTTAATAAGTGACATCACCTAGACTGAAACTTGTTTTTAAAAGGAATTTTTTGTGGTTTTGTTGTTAAAATCACAAAACCTTAACAAAATACACGATAATAAAAGAGAAGATTGTACAGAAGCCTTTATCTGTTTATTTAAGCATCCCAATGACATCACACACTACTCATACTTTTCTCCCATATTTATCATGATGTCATTAGATGATTCTCATATTCCTTTTAGTTCACTGATCTCTGTTGTACCTTTTATCACTCATGTATATTTCTCCCAACACATGGACATTATTAGTGTCATGTTTGTTTACGTGATTGTGAAGATTATTGTTTTTCTTCTCAAAGAGGTAGCTTACACGTGCTATGAGTAAACTGTGTGATAATCTATGTAAATTATGCGCACAGAAGCTACACTTTGCCCTTGGGGGAAATGCAAATTAGAACATTTTGTAGTTTGTTTTTAAATACATACACTTTTCACTTCAAGGCTTAGGACAGACTCCCTGTTTATTTTCCCATTGCTCATCATTTGTTTTTTTTCTTGTAAATATCTGTCTTTAATGATTAGTTTGCTACTTTGGCAGGAAAAAAGTGTTTGATGAGTGAAGTCCTCAACATAATGTTTGGTGTATTTTATAGCTCTGCTGTAAGGGAATTATCTGCTTGTAAACGGGTGTATAACACCCTCACAACTCAAAGCTATTATAGGGATCTGACAGTCTTCATTCATTTTCTCCGAGCGCTGTCTTGTTTTCTTCTTTTACATTAGTACTTGTAATATTTTTTATTCCTGCATTACTAAAACACAGTTAACTGATTTTCCTTATATGAAACAAGAAAAACATATTCATAAAATTTGTTGTTTACTGCACTTGCAGTTCTCTGCTAATCTAATTTTTTGTCTTAATAAAATGATTTTTATACTCTTTAAGTACCCTTCTGGAGAAATTTTTTAATGTAAGTTGTCTGATTCTGTTTTAAGTGAAGGAGAAAACCTGGTAGAGGTTGTCTCTTTAAATCAGATCTGCAGTGTTGATGGACCCTCTAGCAGGCACGGTAAGAACCATTCTCACCTCTGCAGCAGGGAGCTTGACCATATAGACTCTCACATTCAATCAAAACGTTTTCCCTTTTAATATGCACTGTACCAATCCTATTCCCATGGTTACAGCTCGTGCTTCTTTGGTTGCTTCCAGTCTGTTGGAAAAGGAAGGCAGCATACATATCTTGTACAGGAGTTTAAAACATCATGAAAGCAACCCTGTTGTGATTTGCATTTTAAATGTTTCTTTTTTTTTCTCATTGTACAGAATGCTGTAGCGGTAGCTTCAGTTCATTTGCCACAGTCTGTCTTCTCTCAGTCTTCAGCCTGGCAATCTGTTGATAACTCCACTTGCAAGCTACAGTTTATTGTCTTTCGGAATGGAAAACTCTTTCCTAGCACAGGAAACTCATCAAATCTTGCAGATGATGGGAAACGTAGGACGGTTGCCACACCAGCTGTTTTTGCTAAAATAGGTGAGGAGTTGTTATGCATTATTTCCTTTAATCTAAAAGCTACAATGTACTTGATTATGTAAAGAATAGAGGAGTAGAGTGTACAATGTGCTGAGAGGCTGGAAATAGTCTCTTTCTTTAATACAAATGTTTGCAATTGTTCCTGTCTGCATTATTTTATGGAAATTATCCTGCAAGTAAAGAAATGCACTTGCTGTATGACTAGAATGCAAATTTTGGACTACTGATTGTTGACAGTGTTGTTACAGATGCTTTTTCTTAAAGCATGGTGCTATACGAGAGAATCTTGTTTTACTCTTTACACTGAAAATTGCAATGTTAATGTCTCAGACACTGATAAAAATAAAGCTTTTGGAGTGGGAGTAGTGCCCTGTTGCATGTATCGATAGCAGTATACTTTCTGATGTGATGGACGTAAAACAGGTGTTGTTAAAGGCTTTTGTCTAAATGTGATATGTTGTATGTGCTAGTGAGTCATTATTTTGATTAATTATTCACCCAGGCAATTTTACTTATTTTATTTGGTACTGAATAGTGCTCTCATTTCTATTAACATTTTTTAAATGTTCTAAGTGTGACTTTCAAAGCGCAGAATTGTTTCAGCTATTAATCATACCATGAAACTGAGCCGTTTCTGCAGTTACATGGGCAACGGTGTAACACTGGCTGTAACTGAAGATTCTGAGACAAAAAAAAAAAAAACCAAAAACCTGCTTTATGAAGGATGATTAGATCTTTTAGACACGTTATGGGACTGAGATGTTCATATTTATTTATACTATTGCAAACTTCTCTGAATGTGAGCACTACCTATGATTTTGACCATTAAGGGTGTATCTCTATTGCTTTTCCCCCCATAGCTGAGCGTATCTGATCTCTTTACACAGCATTCATCAATAAAGGGTTTTCCACTCCATCGCTCTGATTCAGTTTGTTGCTTTTGCAGATGGGTGCAGTTTTGGAAACCTCACCAGCCCTCTTACTATAGGGTTGAGGCACTTTGCACGGGGTATAGACCCCATTGCAGCCTTCTGGGATTTTGACCTTCTAGATGGACATGGAGGCTGGTGGGGAGAAGGGTGCCACATAATTAGTTCTGCAGGCAATATTACCACCATTCAGAGTACACACTTCAGTAACTTTGCAGTGCTAATGGTGAGTATATGACTTAGCAAATATATTTCTCTCTCTTTTGCCATACATATATGTTCTTTTTACGTGCATCTGTATCATTCTTACTTGTCAGTAACTGATCTTCTGTTTTCTGTAATGTTTAGTATAAGACAGTCTTACAGAAAGTGAGTTATTTAACTGCTAGTAAGTGAATAAACCTGGTGGTCAGTTTTAATATCCAGAGACGGGCCTAATCAGAAATGACATTAAATTCAGTCTTACAAATGAAAGTTCCATCAAGGAACAATTAGTATGTAATGGATATAAATTATAGGACAGGGTTTAAAAATGTACACTCCTGTGTGCCTTTACATCAGCACATCTCAGAGGCTGGTCTGCTTTTGTTCCTGCCCTGCACTGTGTTGATCATACTAATTAGTTGCAGGCATACCGCAATGTTGAATCATTTAATACATGGAGAGGAGTAACATCTGCTCTTTTAAGTAAGGACAGTGCTGTCCTTGTTGATTCTGTAGGAGTTTTGGTTTGTATTCTGATGCTGATAGCCCTCTTACGAAATTGCTGTTTGTGAAGAAAATATTTCTGTGCAGTGCTAACACATCAGCCTGCTTTGGTCTGTTCTCAGTCACACTTACAGTTCCCATTGCAGTTATTTAACTATCCTGCTTAACAGAAAGTTACCTTCATGAAAGCAAAAATATTATGCATGCAATAATGACCTGTTATTGTTCAGAGAATAAAGGAAAACAAAGAAAAAAATCAGAGGTTTCTAATATATGTAGGTGTGAAAATGTTTATACCGTTAAAAATATTTCTTATAAACCATTTGTAAAAAGATTTGGCAGATGTGTACTATTAATATGAGATTGATCCTGATGCTGGTGTATGATTGCACTGTAGATGCTGCTTGTGTACATTACAGAAATGTTTATAGTTGAGTAAATAATGTATTGTGTGTATGTGTAAGGGACAGCAAACATAGGCGACAGGAATTGCGAGGACGTGTGCAGAGAATACCAATCTGCTACTGTCAGATGGAGCCCAGATGGCAGCCAATCATAGCACAAGGCTGTGGCACCCACGAGTTAAATGCAGATATTATCGTCCACTTCGTAAAAACTGATTTCCCTCAGAGTTACTTGAACAGTTTTTCACCATTCCGGAATTGTTCAGAATTTAAGACCTGTTCCTAAGACTTCAAGACTTCAAATATACCTAATTTTCTACAGCTTCTGTGAGTTCCCTTTTTTCCCCCAGCCACTTTTTTCTCAAAATCTGAAACAGAATTTTGCTTTGAGGATGTTCTTCTAAATTCGTCAAAGAATGCACCTGTTGACTTTGCAGGTGCCACGCCCAAAATGGCTTCCTCCCCCTTCAACTGCTTGGGTTCAGCCTGGTCTTGTTAAACTTTGAGTAGTTACTAAATGTTAACTAATTGCTTGCAAACAACCAATTCCACAGTTTCATTTTGTTTACCATCTTGTTAATTGTATACTGACACAAGGACTACAGTTAATTTTTGGTATGTAAAGATAAATGCCCATTTCTCTTTGATGAGATGTAGGAGATTGGTTTTTCTATAACCATAAAGGCAACTGAGGCACATTTTACTGCAGCTTTTGAATCTGGTATGTAGTTCTGGTTTAGGTCTTGTGGGGTTTTTGCTATGGTTATCCAACTTTGCTTTTTTTCCTGTGTGTGTCTTCCATTTTTATCTCTGCAAGACAAGAAAATAGAATCTTAGACTCACCCTTGCTTTGTAGTTGATATGGTAGCAAACAATATGATGTGTTCCTTAGCTTATGTTTTGCAGTCACTTTTAATTAAAAAGATGCCTGACCATAAGTCATTTATATATATATATATATATATATATATATACACACACACATATGTCTTCCAACAGCTGTCTTTCTAAACAGCTATTGGAAAACTTTTGTAGCTTTGTTATGTGCAGCCATTTCCATTCAAGTGTTATTTCTTAAACAGTGTTTTGTGGCATAAAATCAGGGATTGTTTTATTTGATAGAGGCTATACTTTTCTGGGCAGTTCAGTTCTTATACCAGAAATGAAAAATATTTCATTGTTCTTTCTGGCTATTAATTTATAATGTGAACAATGTAAATTGCTATGTGTGTCTTCTTAATTCACACCTGAGTGTCTAATAAATTTTAAAATATTATTAAAATGGCAGCAAATTCAAAATAGCTAGTATATGGTATGCAGCCAATGAAATTATCTACAATATCATGATACATATTATTAATCTATGATTCTGTAATCTATTAAACCATAAAAATTCATAATTGATTATTATGTTTTGGGGTAACAGTAGAAAACTGAAGTACCAGCTGTAAACTGAAGAGCAGCAATAATGCAACAGTGATGAAGATTTACATTACCGTTAGAATAATGCATATCCTGATGTGGAACAAGATGAAATAGATGTCTCGATTCAAATGTCCATTTTATAGCTAGTACAGCACATATTCTGATTGTCATCTTTTTAAATAGTAAAACAAAGTTCCCTGAACTGCTTTTATAAAAGTTGTTTCTGCCTATGTACCATAAAAGTGTTAAAATAAATTCGTAGAGTTCTTTTTTTAGAAAGGCAGCAATCAAGGATTTATCAGCTACGATTGATAATTAATAGGCATGAGCATACTTCAAGTGAGAGCATTCATGTAGATCCATCTGATTTCTGTCTGTGACAGTTGTTTAAGTAATCTGAGAGGGAGAGAAAGCTTGGAGGTTGCATTGGAAAGGAGCTACAAGCTTCTTTCCTCACACACTCACACTTTCATTCTGCTCTGGGTTGGGCCAATGTGGATGGAAGTAAACTAGTAGTGTCAGATGTAATACAGCATTTGAATGGTATGTCCTAGGGGTGGGAGTAAAATACTGTGAACTAAACTCCCGAGTTATATTCCTGCCTTTCCCTTCATATACTCTGTTTTTAGACCAGTCCCCTATTTTGTCTTTTCTTCTGTTATCTGTAGGAGAGACAGTCACACTCAAGTTTCTTTTGAAGGTGGCCTCTAGGGTCTTGAACTATGAACCTCTGCAATATCATTTTCTGTTTTAGAGTAAAATTATGAACTTACATATTCTGAAGCTTTGGTATATTTAAGTATTTGCTCTATAAATACTATGTATTTGTGCTTTTCTGTGAAATAAGCTGTATATCAATATTGTAATTTTTCAGGACAGTGTTTGTGTATGTTATGACCAATTGAGTGCCCTCTAGCCATAGTGTTTCTGAGTAAAAACTCTTCAAGGAGATAACAAAAATATCCAACAACAACATTGAATTTCAAAATTTGCTAAATATGTTTTGGCATATGGTGTCCTTTGTTCTTCCTTCCAATTTTCTTTGAACAGAATGGCAATTCAGTAGTGATGGATATTACTGTAATTGTATTCAGCATTTCCTTTTCCCCCCTCAGACTGCTTTGTCAATAATGATTTCCTCAAATCTGCCAAATAAACATGAGCAAAATTCTTAAATCTAAGCATGCTACTTCTCAATTAACATAAAATGGATTAATAAATATTGCTAGTGGTTTTAATTGTAATCCTGAAGATATGTTAAATTTACATAAAATCGTAAACAGCTCCTTTCCTGTTTTGTCACAATGTGTCTCATTATTCTAAACAACATAGGCGGGTTTTTTGTTGGATTTTTTTTTTTTCTCTGTGAGTGTAAGGAGTCATTATTTGCAAAAGTAGCATACATTCAGTGGATGGCTATTGGAGATAATTAGGGCTGAGGAGACAGCTAGCAAAACCAGCAAATTTGAAACTATTCTGGAAGCAAACCTTGGAAAACTGTGAATGAGAAATTGAGGAGAGGCAAGATACTAGGAACTGATCATGCTAAGAGTTACAGGATTTTTCTCCTGTTGTTTTACAAGCATTCCCTGAATCTTTTAAGTCTTTCAAAATTGGTAGAATCACAGTACCACAAAAGCTGTTTTCAATGTTTTCAGTGTGACTGGAGACAGTTGCAGAATTTCTTAGACCTATTTGTGAATTCTGAAAACATTCTTCTAAACTTCCATGTTTCAGATCTTCTCCAAATTAAACAGCCTAAGCCATTTGAGATATTAATTCATGAGTTGGGGAAGTATTACAGAGATGTCATTTAGAAGGTTGACTTAATTACAGTATTTGACATTTTCCCCATAGAAAACGCAGGGTTTTCTCATAACAGGCTGTGGAAACATGGTTCAGTACTTTGAAAAATTAGACTCTTTACCGGGAGAGGTTTCAGAATGAACTTTTAATTTTTTTGTGTGTGTTTAAACACCTACTTTTACACCTACAGAATAGACCTTAGCAGAGTTTAAGCAACAAAAACTATGAAAGTGATTCAGGAAGTTTGCCTGCTATCTGCGAAATTAACATTTGTTGTAGTGGGAACTGGAAAATTCCCTGGAATTAGATTTCTCTGCATGTGCATAGATGCTTCCCAGTGTGAACAGATAGATTTCTAAGCTCTGCTGTCATTCAGAAGTCTGGCATGGAGGCACATACACTTCACCTGAGTCGTCAGCTGATATGTACTGCTCACCTAACAGAGAATTCTTAGCCCGGCCCATATAGACAGTATTGAGTCCAGCTTTCCAGAAGAGGTGGATTTTTTTCAGAATATTCCTGAATATGCCAATCTTTTGCATGAAGCCTTGGAATTAGAACACTCATAAGATCAAGATCTGTATTTTATTCCTTTCTCCTTGGATTATATCTGCTTTTTATTAAATTACACTTAATAACATGTATTGTTTACTCTGTAAAATGCATAAATTTGGCTTGGTACTGGGGACAAAAATCCAGGCTTGTCTCCCTCAAAATGCACTAACTTTAATACAAGTCAAGCTTCTAGCTCAAGCTCTTTGTTTCTGTTTGCTGTTGCTTTCTGCTGGCTTAATACATCTTGCATTCTTTGTGGTACACCTTTAGCCAGAGGGTAAAGTAATCCAGACTGTAAAGGAGCTCAGTAAAATGGGCCAACTCTTGGGAGATAGGACATATAAGTTAAAGAGCTAGAATCTAGGTCTTGATCCATCTTACTGTCTTGATGGCTTCCACTTGGGCTCCTTCCATTTCATCAGTCTCTTTCTTGTACTGAAGTGCCCCAAACTGGCCACACTAGTCAAGATTTGGTCTCACAAGTGGTGAATAGAAGGGAATAACCACTTCCCTCAGCCTGCTGCCTTCATTCTTGTTAATAAGGCCCAATATGTGGTTCACCCACGAGGGCTCACCACTGCCTTGCTTTCAACTTACTGTCCACCAGGACCCTCTGCAAAGTTTTTTCCCAGTCCGTTGTCCCCTAGCCTGTTCTGCTGTCAGGGTTACTCTGTCTCAGAGACAGGAAACTTTGTCTTCATTGGACTTCATGAGTTTCCTTATAAACCCATTTCTCCAGCCTGTTGAGATCCTGCCAAAGAGCAGTCCTTCTCAACTGCTCCACTCAATGTGCATTGCAGTGTTTTCAGCTCTCCATAGAGACCCAACTCTGTGGATAATTTCCATATTCTGTTGCTCCTAACCATCCTAATATTTGGCACCTAATCCTTAAGTTTGGTTTTAAGTGGGAGGAATCTAAATACAAATAGGAATCTAAAACTTACCATAACTGATTGTTGAAATGCACTTGTGTTTCTAAGTCTGTGGTGCTTGGATATCGCTTCTTTAGGAAATGCAATTTCAGGTGTCCTGCTTTAAACACAGAAATCAGTTAGACTGTACTTTCTAACATCATACTATTACAAGTAATATATTAAAAATAAATGTTTAATTTGCCAATATAAGTAGATGGATTACAAAAATTTAGAGCACAAACTAGATCTTGTTAGCAGCTGTAATTTTGTGAAAATACTAGATATTTAGTATTAGTTCACTGTTTCTTCCCCTCAACTTTATCAGCATCTGCTGTTAGATGTCTTAGGGCTACCTTCTGTATGTAATTTGTCTATACCTCTTCATACTTACATATTCAGTTTTAACTAATCAGTTTGGTGGATGTGTGTGGTTTAGTCGATTTTTGAAATGAAGTCTTCAGTAAAAGTGAAACAGTCCCATTTGCACTTTGATGTTTTTATAATTCTGATTGTTGGTTGAAATAGCTGATAAAAAGTCTTTTCTGTCACTAATTTCCATCTCTAAATTCTATTGTTCCTTATATACTATGGTGGCATTTACAGCTAAAAGAAGCTGGTTTCACACCTTCTTATAAGGGTGAATGAATGACAGATTCTCATTAGACAACATTTTACTGGCCTTGTAGTTGTAGTTTGTAATGGTCAGTCTTGTGTGTGTGTGTGCGTGTTCATTTTCCTGTAGACAATTCCTGCCATTTTTCAATATCATCATAATTTGAATCTCCTCTAGGAAATAAAATCAAACCCACCTTTTAAAAATGTAACATACAATTATGGTACTTTGCGTACGGCATTAAAATATATAGTAAGAGCTAGAAGTAAATATTTTATCATATTCAGCAAAGTATTTCTATTTAAGTTGTACAGTATTTACATTACTACTGTAGTAATATGAGCCAAAATTTTACTGAACATCTCTGCTAAATAATAGTCTACCTCAAGAAATTCAGTCTGTAAAAGAATTAATGGTCATTAAGAAAGGATGTTTGGTTTGAGTGAAGATTCAATGGCAGTTCTGAGACAGTAGACTTTTAAAGAATTATTTGAATTTGTGAATTCATTATATCCTGAATGTATATTCATGCATACTAACAAAAACAAGAGAAGGCCTCAAGAGCATAGGTCTGTCACATTAAAAAGCTACCACATCAAAAGACAGAGTTCTTTTCCTCTTCCATTCCACTTGTGGTTGAGGCAAGAGAAGCAAGAGGTGTTAGAAGACACCATAAGCATACCTCTGTGACAAGTGACTCCACCTCTGACTGAATCTTGGAGAACTGAGCAGGACTGAGAGAGGACTTTTGTGTGGGACAAGTGGTGACTGAGCATATTTAACTGAGGTACACACACAAGCTGAGGAAGTACTTGAAGAGAAATGGGGTGTGATGACATGTATTTGCCATCTTGTTCATATGTTATTTGTTCATTTTGATGGTATTTTTTGTGTATGTTTTAAGCTGCTCTGTTTTAGAACTGACATTAATATGCATCTGGAGGAACTGATACAGTCAATTTTAGGAACTTTAAAGCTAGTATGAAGAAAAATAATGACTATTAAGGGCATCTGTTACTTGTAAGGACCTTTCTGGAAGGTAAACAGAACAGTACCTTTCCCCATGATTTAATAATTGTATATACTCATGAACATTAGCTGCTTGTACATGGCACAAGATCATATACATAAATAATGGTGTGGGAAATCAGCTCTCTGCATGCAAATGCAATTTTTAAAATGTATTAGCATTACAATCCCAGTCTCCAAAGGGTAGATTTCACCTCAGGAAAATAATGTATTGATTCGTGATCCAGGGGAACCTAAAACTGACAAATAAAGAAAAATACTTTTAAATGTATGCCAGTATTTTCAGTGTTAGAGTATGCTGGATTGTCATATTCAATAGTTTTTCAGATTTTAGCTTTTTCTGTATGCACGCAAAAATGAATATACATCCAATCAGTAAGTGCCACTGCACGTGGAAACTGGCATGTAGACAACACGTTGCACTCAAGTGATAGTTTATGTGTCTGATTTATACTACTTGTTTGCAGAAGTGTAGTGTCACAAATAGACGTGGCTTAATGTATTACAATGAACCTCTAATGTTTGGTTTAATTCAGTCTGAAGACATACTGTTTTCTGTAATGGGCTCCTTTTGCTTTCCATCCATCACACCTGCAGATTTAGCTCCCTTATTATTTCTTACTTGTGAGATCCACTAACTTAAATGAGAATTTGATATGGTTAATTTTACAAAGATATTAATAGTTTTTCATTATATTTTTCATGAAGAATTGTGTCAGTAGGCACTAGCAGGTTCAAAAGGAGTGCATGGATCTTTACTCTGCTGTTAATGTAGCTGTCAAGCTGCTTTTGAACTGACGTAGATAGTGTAGAATATTTGCAACTAAGTGTGAAGGTCACTGGGTCAGAGGAGGTGTATCAACTGGGAATTATATTTGAATACAGGAGCAAGTCAGTCAATATTTTGGGTGTATTCTCACAGCTTTTGTTTGTTTGAGTGGTTCTTCTGCAACCATGTATATGCCATTTAGAGACCTTTATGGTAATTCGATATTTAGTCCTTAATATCCTAGTAAAATACACATAAAGTTCATGTTATCAGAAGAAACAGATATTGTTAATGTATGGAAAATGTAATATTCTATGTATTTTTTCAGACCTTTTTTTTTAAATTAGGATATGTCTGCTTGTACAAAAAAGGTTCATTTCTGTCTTGCAAAATATATGCAGATGAGGAAAGAGCAGTCTGATGTTATTGTAAATTCATGAACTATATCTACATAAAAAGTTCATAATCTAATTTTTCTGCTATTTAACGGGAACAGCTAGAAATGACAGGACATACTGAAATGAAGTCTCGAAGTCTCACACATGCCTAATGATGTTAAATCATTCTGTTTTCTCCATAGGATTTTAAGACAGTGCTGTCTTTCCCCCAGTACCCAGGGGAGTTTCTGCACCCTGTGGTATATGCATGTACTGCAGTTATGTTGTTGTGCCTGTTTGCTTCTATTATCACCTACATTGTCCATCACAGGTAAGAATTCAATTTTAAGCACTTGTGTTAAATGGTCAGCATTATGCTGAGACACTTTAATTTTTCTAATCTTCACTGAAAAGATCACTTAAAATTATCAGAATAACTGTTGCATAGTAATACCAGCAATGTGATTTACACCAGAGAAATCAAAAAAGGTAAAAAGGTTATGTCAACCTTTCTCAAGCTGTTCCCAAGCTCTATCTGTCCAGAGACGTATCTCTAAATGGTCTACATGCTGTTTCTAAGATTTCTAACTTGACAATTTACTATAAAACCATGAGCACTATCAAATCACTTTCTGGCAAATTCCAGATGAGCAGCACTCTGGACAGCTATGCTGGTGGTATTGGCTTCTAAGACCAAGTTTGGTTGAAAGCCTGGCAACTATCATTGGATAAAAGAAACTTCCTTTGACTTCTAAATCTTCTTGATTTTAGAAAACTTGTGTTTTCCTTTATATGAAGGATTTATATAAATGCCATTTTGACTACATACTTCTGTTAAAGACTATTAGCAATTTAAAAGAGTAGGAATGTATTGTACTGTAGAAGCTGCTAAATATTGAGTGAACTTAATGCAATGACTTTTGATTTTCAGCTTCCATTTAATCCTTTAGAGATGTCTTGTTAAGGTTCTGCATATCTGAAGCTATGCAATAAGCCTTTTGCTTTTATTACTCTACTTTAAATGCTTGATTTGAGGGAGGAAACTTATAAGGCAGTAGACCCTTGTCAGCAGAGTCTTTACAATTTTTACCATTGATTTTACCTTTTTTGCTATTGATTTCAGTGCTGTATAAAGCAGACTCTTTCCTATAGGTACATTTCTAAGTAGGTATTCAAGAATTAGAGAATTTAGTTCTGTCATATTAAAATTTTTTTCCAAATTGTAATTTTCATAATAAATATGTTAGTTTCTAATTTTAAAACGTGATTTTTCAACAGCACAATCCGAATAAGTAGAAAAGGATGGCACATGCTTCTCAACTTTTGTTTTCATACTGCTCTTACGTTTGCTGTTTTTGCTGGTGGAATCAATCGCATTAAATATCCAATTATATGTCAAGCTGTAAGTATCTGCCTTAGTAATTCTTACTAATAGAATGAAAACCTGAAACTGTATCTTTTAACACAATATTGATAGTTCTCTTTCTTTTCATATGTTGTTCCTCAATCTTAAATTCTTCAGAATAAGTCATCATTATATCTCTTAAAGGCCAGCACTGGGAATGTTCAGTGTTTGGTTGTTGCCTGAGTTTCTGTGAGAGTCTGACCAATGCATTAATTTCTCTACAACTCAGATTTCCTTATTTTAAAAAATCCCTGAACAGAGAAATACTATTATTTTCTACAGGATAGCTGAAAACTATGATTCCCCAATATTTCTGTCCTTTCTGATCATTCCATCAAATGTGGGGAACTAAGTTCAATGCTGCGCTTTTGTAATACATATACCACTTGCCTGAGGGTGGCCCTGACTTCACTGAGTGATCTCTAAATACACACTTGGGCAGCTTAATATTTATAGTATGATTATGTCTTTTAATTAAAACTCAAGATAAAGAGACAAAGCAGACCAGTACCCTTGCAATTTATGGACCCGTGTTTTGTACTGCTGGACTTTTTCAAATTTCTTGCTTCATTCTTTTCCTGAAGTATAGTGCCATGAGATCCGCAGAGAGGCCATGGCTTCAGCTGCTCTGAATATAGAAGCTGAGTCTGTACAGTGTGTAAAGAGAGTCATTGCAGTCATCTGGAATGCCTGATGAGGGCTTGTTGCGATTTTTTTGTCTTAAATATTTCTTCTTCTCAGATTTTTGTAGAAGTGCTCCAGATCTCATGAATGTTGTTGGCATTTACCTGTAGTAAAGCACTTCATTACATTCTCACAGATATTTTGCCTGTCACTAATCTGGTTCTTCTGATTGGTTTGAATGGGTGTAAACAGCAAGAGTCACCAGCCAATAGCTTAGTCACTGCAAAACTTGCATAGCTAGTGTGAGAGTTACCATTCTAATTCTCAGTGAGATGCTTTGGAAGCCTTTTATGTGTACTTGTGCATGACTGTCAATAAACAGCATATATAGATCTGTAAGCACCTGTAACGTTCTGTGTGCAAAGTCTACCTATGTGTATTATATGGTATTCATTTAAATGACAATAGTTTAGTTGTCCACTATATTAGTCTGAGATAAATATCTCACAATATCTGGTGTATTGTGTCATAATTAATCTGTGAGTTCTGGCAAATTGAAATATCACTTACCATTGTCTCTATCTGCAGTTTGCAAGTGAGGGTGGCAGATTAGTTTGTAGGGCAGCCACGGCTGTGTAATTACACGATCACAGATGACCATCTGTTGTTGCAATCATTGTCTGGTTATTTACTTTGAAGATTGCATGGTAACAATGCAGCATTAACAGCCATAATGAAAAATTGATTGAGATAAATGAGTTATTAATAATGTTATGAGTATTACATAAACTACAGGGGTATCTTCATAAAATGCATTATCAGTGACAGCGGTTTCTAGCTATGGTATAGGACCAGATCCTGAACTGCTGAAACATGCACATTTAGAGAAACTGAATGGATCCATTCACATATGCCTTCTAACCAGCTTCACAGAATTATTTATTTACCTGACACCATGCTACATCAACAGACAATATCATCAGCAGTTAAAATATAGGAAAGATACAGGACACTCAACACACACAGTCCTCTGGTTCCTGGTAGAAATTAGGATGGGCTAATGTTCCTGATGTGATTAGGTAGGGCTAATGGATGCTGATAACAGAGGCTGAACAAATGTTCACTCCCAGAAAACTGTACGCCACCACAGACCCTTTCTTGCCTACTGACAGCAAAATTCTGTGAGTCCCAGTGCCTATCTCCTCCTGTGATAACCCTGAGAGGATTACTCTGTGAATTAATATTCCGGATGCCAAAGCTAGGAGGTAGGGAGGTCAGACCTACTAATGGTTTCCCTAAAAGCTCACATATTTGAACATTTCCTGTGGCTTGCATAAGTGGTGGTGGGGTGGACAGCACTCCTTTTTTCCTGTGTATGGAATATAGCAATTCTTTAAATCACTCAGCGTAATGAAATGTATAGTTATATAGCAGTTTTGGGCTTGTGTGTCCCTCAAGTCTAGGTTTTGTCTCTTGTCCCCCCCCCCCCCCC